ATCTGCCTGCCTCCCAAAGTGCTGGGATTACAGGCCTATATTTTAAATATTTTCTGAAAGCTTGAAATATATTTTTACTACTATTAGTACAAAAAGTACACCAGACAAAAACAGGTAAGTAAGACTTTATCCAAGGCTGTTGCGATAGGGGAGTAGATCATAGCCTGAACTCAACTCTGCTGAAGCAAGAGGCATTAGCATTGTTAACAGCTGGAGTCAGGGATGACCATAGGCCATCTGTGTTTGCCAGTTGGCCAAACCTAAATGAAAGGTAAACTTTCTTACATCTTCATGACCTGAGATAACTTTACAACTTGGAGTAAGGGGCCCCATTGAATTTAGGCTCCCACCCTTCACAAAGACTGAGAGAGGGGGGCCTTGTCTCCCTGGATGATTGCATGTGAGAGGGAGTGCTCCCAGGTCCTTGAGAAAGACATTTCTAGATTTTGAAACTCTCAAGGGGCTTTTTAAGCATCAATCTAAATTACAAACACAGAGTCTCCCTGAAAGAAAAAGATGTTTGTTTGGAAATAGAGCATTACAATGAGAATACTTGGGCTGTATAAATGTATTTGTATGTATCCTATTCTGGGAGGTAAAGAAAGGCAAAGGTTTTTAAAGAAAAAATGAGAAGAACGACATAATTATCCTTGGCTACCATGATCCATAAAAGGGTGACTCCAGTGCAAGGTTGGACAAGCAGTTGCTGGGCAGATGTCCTTGCAGAAGTATTTTTTGTGCAAGGTTGTGATGGCCTTTGTGCAAGGCTTTCTTTTTTATAGTCTTTTTCATTATCAGGCATGCAAACAAAACTTTCTCTTCATGGTTTCCCTGGCTCTATTTGTCAGAGTTTTATTTAACATTAGTGATTCCATTTTGATTCTGGCAACTTTCATATAAAAAATTAAATTAAATTTCTAAGGAACAAAGTAAGAGTTTATAATTAGAAGTGTGTGGTTTTTTTTTTTTTTAATAAATGCTCTAAAAAGAGGGGGAGGTCAGGGACCTAGTGTTAGGAAGACCTATCTAAATTTTAGTCAAAGTGAAGGAGATTTTAGTACTGTCTTGATCATCAGCTACCTTTTAATTCTCTAAATTATTGGTAGTTTATCTCTCTGTCTGAAGTTATTATTAAAGTTATTTAACTTTAATCAATTAAAGGGAAGACTTTAGTTTGTCTTTCTCATTTATAACAATGCAAGCACCATTTCTAATGACAACAAAGACAGCAAATAAATATATATATGCACATATACACATATATATAAAATATCAACATACAATCTCTCTCTCTCTCTCTCTCTCTCTCTCTCTCTGTCTCAATCCAAGAATTCCCTGGACAAGAATTAGAACAAGGAAAACCAAGGCCATTCATCCTGGTCTTATTCATTCTCCAGCCACGTCTTCTTCCCCTTTCCAGGGCAACCAAAGTAGGATGTTGGCAAGGTCGGTAATGTTTGTTTATAAGCATTACCTAATTGAAGATGGTGATTTTCTTTTTTTCCTTTAAGTTGCTGGGGTGATTTCCAACATAATTTTAGTGGTAAGATTCAGACAGAAATCAATTATAGGACAATGAAAACCAATTATAAAATAATAGAAGATAACCCACTGTTACATTGTGTGGATGACAGCAAAGGCAAAGGATTTTATTAAAGCCAAGAGCCAGAATGCGTGGGAACATTTGCAAGGCCACATAATTTAGGCAGAGTCATAAATTTCTTTAGTATAAAGGATATAATACATTTGTAAGTGTATTTAATATGCATAGATTGCTAACACACCTGCACTGAGTGAAAACAAGGAGCATTTATTCATTTATATTATAGGAAATCCTTGGCTACTGGGTCTTGTGTTCTAAGTGGCTGTGGCTTTCTTTCAGCACAGAACTTTCTCTGCTTGAGTGTAGAAAAGATAGAAAAAGACCCTGGCCTAAAGTCTGTTTCTTTGTCTCTTTGGGGGCAGCCAGTCTGAGTAGAATTCATCTTTCCATCCTTACACCTTGCTCTTCCAAGAGAATCAATGAAATGTGTCACCATCGTTTCATAAAATATGAATAATGTCCTAGGGACTACCACTACCAAGTTACCCATGAGATATAATGGGGACATGAGACATAAATGGGCTGATCCTATAAATTGGGCTGATCCCAATTTGACTAGTGTAGGAAAGGGGCCATGACAGTCCCCTATGAAACTCCCAACTTTGGAGGAGGAGGACTTGTGTTCAGTCCTAGCTCTGCCCAGGGCTGGCTTAGGCAGATCATTCCCTCTCTCAGAGCCTCAAGTGCCTCAGCTGTATGCTGGACATTGCAATAGGTTTTGGATGTGGTTGCATCACTATCAGATAGTTGTGTTGTCCTCAAGTGGTTATATTATTATGCGAGTTTAGAAAGCAGAATTAAAGGATTTGCAGGAGGCCTTGGAACTAGAAAGAGCTGGTTTGGGCAGAGGTCTACCTGCAGTTAGTTCTTTTTCCTCCCAGGTGTGTGAGGAAAAATAAGACCAGAAATGAAGAGGACTTTGCAGAGAGGGAGGCTCTGACTTAACATGCCACATGGCTAGTCAATAGTTCAGTCCACCAGAACAGCATAGCGTTAAGGAAGACACAAAGTTTATTGAACACTTATGTGATGAAAAAATAAAATTTGTGGATCTATGTGGAGAGCTGCTCTGTACTAGGGGAGGGAATAAAATTTGAAAGTATTTATAGTTAACAGCAGGTTTTAACCCTACTGAAACTCCTGTGCTTGGTTCCTTTTCACTTCTGCAAGTTTGATCTGTTCAAGAATTTTTCTTACTTTTGAAAAGCTAGCGTAAATTGACTGAAATGGCTCAGCTAAAATTTCTTTGAAGAAGACCATTTATGTCTAGAAAAAGAGATTTAGTATACAAAAAAGAGACTGAGAGGCTGTATGACCTCAGTAAGCTGCTGCAGTAATTCTAAGGGTTGAAATTCTCAAAACCCAGCAGCTCAGAAATCCTTCCCTTGGGCTGACGTCCTGCAAGGCTCCAGGGCACAGCTCTGCCCCTCTCTGGAGTGTTGTTTCAGGCCTGGTTGGCGCTGGACCTTGAATGATCTTCCTGGGTACATCTAGTGCTCTATGGAGGAAACCAGGTCACATCCAGGTTGTAGTTTCTGGGCAAGTAGAAAAATGACCTAAGCTGAAATCAGACCCTGATCATGGTGTATGAGGATAAAAGAGTGACCAGGACTTAATCTATCCAAAGTCTGTGCCACGGAAGAGCAAGAGAGACAAGGGAGCCTCCAATGTTCTTCTGGCAAAGGCCCTGCACACTCCCAGCACCCACATAGCCCTTCTGTGGTCAGACAGGAAAGGTGCTGCATAAAGAGATCTCTCAGGGCATAGAATTGGTCAGAACCCGAGAAGTGTATTCAGTTTGCTGAGATGGTGCACTGCATCTTTATGGATATTACCTCAGTAAGTCACTGACAAGTATCATCAACCCTTCTGGGTAGGTGCAGTAGGCAGAATTCTAAGATGACCCTCAAGACTCCCACCCCCTGATGTTCTCACTTCCCGTAATCCAGCTCCTTGACTGTGTGCAGAATGAGTGTGATGGATATTGCTGCCATTATATGGCAAAGGTAAAGACATTTTGCAGATGTGATTATGGTTCTTAATCAGTTGACTTTGAGTTAATCAAAGGGTGATTATTCTGGGTGGCCTGTCTTAATCAGTTTAGCCTTTCAGATGAAGTGGTGGTGGTAAGAGGCAAGAATTGGCTTCTTACCAAAATGGAAAAGGAAAGTTCCATTTTGTGGAGACTGCCACATGGCTGGAAATTGGGGTGAGGGGAGAAGTCTCTAGAAGTCAACCACCTCAGTCCTTCAACTGTAAGGAACTGAACTCCACTACCAACCACATGAGCTTAAAAGACCATCTTGAACCTCAGATGAGATGCCAACCCTGGTCAACACTTTAACTGTAGCCTGGTGAGACCCTGCACAGCGGACTCAGTTAAGCTGTGCCCAGACACTGTACTCATGGAAATGGTGAGATAATAAGAGTGTGTTGTCTTAAATCACCAAGTTTGTGGTAATTTGACACACAACAAAAGAAAACTCACACCTTAGGTTTTATCTGTCGCAATTTATAAATAAGAAAACTGAGGCTTAGAAAGTTTAAGTAAATTTCTCAGAGTCAAAAAACTATCAAAAAAAAGTTGGAACAAATAATAGTAAGACCAGTGAAAGCAATATAACAAGAAAACATTTTAAAAGAATTCAGTGTAGAACTTTGTGTGATAAATTTGAAAATTTCTAGAAAACAATTATGTGTGTATTTCTCTATATATATCAAGCATACATCTATATCCATATATATGTGCATATTTTCATACATATACGAACACACATAGAGAGTCAACTATGTCAAATCTAAATACATTACTTAGCAGGAATGGAAGATATAAAAATGCCATCAAAGAACTCTGGAATTGGGATTTTACAAAACTTTCAATAAACAAATAATTACTAATTTATTTAACTGTTCTACTATAAGAAGAATAAAAGGAAATTTACAATATCATTTTATGAAGCTAGCCTACACAATCCAATTCCAAAACTTGAAATAGTACTCCTAAAATAAAAAGTAAAACGTAGTTATCAATTGTGAATATAGATTTCAAATTAGTAAATAAAATATTTAACAAGTCTAATTTAAGAGTATAGTAAATGGATTAGATCTCGTAACTAAGTTAACATTATGTTTCTGTTATAAGGAGTCTGATTTCACTTTTTGACGTTTGGCTGCTGACAGATTTTGAGCCTTACCCCTCTGTCTTCTCTTTGTGTCACACATCTGGGCAAGCTGATAAGAAAGCTGATAAGGAAGATTCTCTGTACTTTGGAGTCAGCCAGTGCAATGGGGATATTCAATTCACAGAAGCCCCTGTTGTGTTAAGTACCATCACCCTGACCCCAACCTCTAACCATAGTAATAGCCACAGGCTACTCTCTTTTCCTTATTCTCCTAGGAGATTTTGGAACTGCTGGGTGGATCTGCCATTCTATACTCAGAAAAGCCTCAATTATGTAAGTGATAAACCTTATCATACCTCTTGGATTGTTTTTTTGTGTGTGTGTGTTTTTGTGTGTGTGTGTGTGTGTGTGTAACCATCAATCTCAACATCTGAACCAAATTGTGTCAGTCCATGCTGACTTTGCTGAGTGTTCATGACAATTTATAGTGCAGAAATATTTTAATATTGAGATCTAGCAATATGATTAATGTAATAATTTTTATCCCAGTAATTCCTTAGGACATTTGATGTGTACAAAAACTCACTAAAATTCAATTTGGAAAAGATGTCTTCATTATTTTACTAAAAAAGTTGCTTATATTTTATGCAATATTTACTGATAGCCTCTAAAGGATCAAAGTTCTCTAAAGGATTAAAATAGTTTAACAATTCTTATTTCCCAAGGCCACATTCAACAACATTATACATCATAATATGATTTTTCTGTGGTACACCCATATTGAATTGACTAGTCCTGTTCCTCTTCCTTAAAACTAAATTTGGGATGAATGATGCAAACAAATTATTGACATTAAAACCAAGATATTTTAAAGATAAAATTTTAGGCAAGCCTATTCATTTTGTCTAAAAATACTAATATTTGATGGAATACACACATACAAACATGATATATAATATACATATATGATAATATGATACATATATATTATATCATATGTATCATATAATATGTATCATATATGTATCATAATATATGAATATATATGTATATGTGTATATAATACCTATTATACAGCATAAATTATAATATATAGTATACTATCTATATTTTGCCTATTACATTACATATATCCCACTAGATAGTTGTATGCAAAATGAATTAAATCTATCTATCTATCTATCTATCTATCTATCTATCTATCTATCTATCTCTATCTAGTGCAACAATATAACCCAGGAATTTTAAAGTGCCAAGTTCAGATTAAAAGTCTCCTACCCTACTAAATATTTTAAGAGAATGATTACATTAAGTCTCATGTGTTTTCTATGAATGTGCTGAAGATTTCAATACACATTATAGCTCTTTAAATCACAACCTATACAAACATAATTCTGATATTTTATAAGACAAAATTCTTTCTGCAATAAAAACATGCTTGCGTATTAGTGAGCTATTGCTGCTGTAAGAAAGTGCCACAAACTTGGTGGCTTGAACAATGAAAATTTATTTTTTCATACTTCTGGAGAGTAAGAGAGACACAACCAAAGCTCTCCAAGTCTTGTTCTTCCACTGCTTCACCTCCAATAAACCTGCTGCAGAGAATAGGGTTGATAATGCTTGTAAATATTTTTAAAATTAAAGTTACTTTTTAGAGTTGTTAAATGTATGTCCCACATTTTCTTTATCCAGTCTATTATTGATGGGCATTTGGGTCGTTTCCAAGTCTTTGCTATTGTGAACAGTGTTGCAATAAACATACGTATGCATGTGTCTTTATAATAGAATGATATATAATCCTTTGGGTATACACCCAGGAATGGGACTGCTGGGTCAAATGGTATTTTTGGTTCTAGATCCTTGACGAATTGCCACACCATCTTCCGTAATAGTTGAACTAATTTATACTCCCACCAGCAGTGCAAAAGCATTCCTGTTTCTCCACATCCTCTCCAGCATCTGTCATTTCCACTTTTTAATGATCACCATTCTAACTGGAATGAGATGGTATCTCATTGTGGTTTTGCTTTGCATTTCTCTAACAACCAGTGATGATGAGCTTTTTTCCTATGTTTGTTGACTTCATAAATGTCTTTTTTTGAGAAGTGTCTGTTCGTATCCTTTGCCCACTTTTTGATTTTTTTTTAACGTGTAAATCTGTTTAAGTTCGTTGTAGATTTTGGATATTAGCCCTTTGTCAGATGGATAGACTGCAAAAATTTTCTCCCATTCTGTAGATTGCCTGTTCACTCTGATGATAGTTTCTTTTGCTGTGCAGAAGTTCTTTAGTTTAATTAGACACCATCGAATACTATACAGCCATAAGAAAGGATGAGTTCATGTCCTTTGCAGGGACATGGATGAAGCTGGAAACCATCATTCTCAGCAAACTAATACAAGAACAGAAAACCAAATACCACATGTTGTCACTCATAAGTGGGAATTGAACAATAAGAACACATGGACACAGGGAGGGGAACATCACACACTGGGGCCTGTTGGGGGGTGGGGGGGCAAACGAAGGGATAGCATTAGGAGAAATACCTAATGTAGATAATGGGTTGATGGCTGGAGCAAACCACCATGGCATGTGTGTACTTCTGTAAAACACCTGCACATTCTGCATGTGTATCCCAGAACTTAAAGTATAATAATAATTTAAAAAAGAGAGCCGGATGAATGCAGTGCTGGCTCAGGAACGGGGAGACTCGGCAGGGGGTCAGTGAGGCAGAGGAGACAGCGGGTCTGGGCAGTGGTGGGTGGGAGCAACACATTGTCCCTGGGAGGGGCAGCTGACCCTGCTGGACCTGACGCCAGCTTTCTATATCTCTGGCAGTTTGATGAAATTCCAAAGTGAGAACCACAGTCACGGCTTGGGGGTGGCTGCCTGCTTGTGTTAGGACCCCACCTAGAGGCTGGGACCTGAGCTAAGGCTAGTGTCTGTGGCCTGAGGATGGGCACATCCTGGGGTCCCAAGGGAAAAAAAGAAAAGAAAAGAAAAAAAGGATGTCCTACTAATCCTATTTAGAATTCTAATGTCTCACGCAAGGAGTATTTATATTCTTATAGTACATCAGAATTGAGAAAAAAAATATAAATTTGTTGTCTGGTGAGAGTTTATTCTCTGCTTCAAAAATGGCGCCTTCTTGCTGGTGCCTTAACAAAACAAAGGGGGCAAGGGCAAGGGAGCTCGCTGGCACTGAGCCTCTTTCCTAAGGGCGAGAAGGAGACTATTTATGAAGATGGAGCTCATGACTTAATCGTTTCACAGAGGCCCCACCTCTTAATATGATCACATTGGATTCCAACATATGAATGTGGGGGAGAGGACATCAACATTCAGACCATTGCAGCCAATATGTTCCAAGGTATAGAAGGAGGGAACCTTCTATAATGTAATCAGTCTCATTGGTTTTAATGCTAAACAGCTGTGGACAAATTTGAAATACATACTAGAATCCAACCAATGCAAGTGGGCTGATAAAAATAGCACTTTTCTTCTTTTCTCAAGATAATGAAACTGTTAATATTATGGAAATCTGATCTATTTTGATAGTAAAAATTCAGCTGCCCCCGACCAGAAAGATTATTTTCTATATATTTAATGTGATCTCACATCCTCAGATAATGAATTTAAATTACATATTATACTTTGCTGAGAATGGAAATCTATTTGCCTGTCAGGTGATATACGTTTTGGTATTTTCCAGACAGCTTCTTGTGGAAAAATAATAGATTCAGACAGGCAAAATCACATTAAATAATTCCACTACATAATTGCAATGGATGTATAGTAGATTAAAATCAAGAAGCACATTAGCAGAATCATTAAATTATGATGCAGGCTCCGTTTTACTTAATACTCTTTTTTAAAAAATTCCATTGCAGAGATCTCAAAATAACATCAGCTTGGCTGGTTTGGGGATATATAGAAATAATAAATGTGCCTGTTCTTATTCTTTCCACTTAAACCTATATTAGATTAAATTTCCATGTGACCTACTCTATCAATAAATGTATGAATCTAGAGAGATTTCCCTGGGGCAGACATTAGGTTGGATTATTTTCTAATGTGAAATGTAGAATTGAGATAAAAAGGACAAGGAAAGAAAAAAATAACTGTGCTTGATCCTCAAAGAGGCTGACAGATACAGCAATGTAAAAACATCCTTGGCGAAGACAGCGCCTCCTAGCTCACGTTCCTGTCCACCAGTGTCAACATCAGGGCATAGAAGTTGCACCAGAATTAATGTTAGGCTATGTTTATATTGTTAGAGTTGTGATTTTTAAAATTGTTTTTAGTTTTTCATAATATTTTATTTAGTATTTCTCCACAAAGTAAGAGAATGGTGTTTGGGGTTTGTGCATGTGCATACAGATGTATGTGCCCCACTGAGTGTTTCTCTGTGTATGTGTATGTGTGTGTGTGGGTGTGGGTGTGGGGGTGTGTGTGTGGGTGAGAGAGAGAGAGAGTTATATACATAAGACTAAGTGGCTGTGTGTATGATCATGTATATGTACTCTGTATTCAGATGGCTTTGATTTTCTATCTTAAAATCTATGCATTAGTGTAAATTTGCATTTTTACCTTTAAACTATACTTCCACATTTCTTTTTATTTGCAGAAAACATACAACTTTTAAAAGCAGATGGGTTCCACCACTGGGGCACCTTAGGCTGGTCCCAGTTGGATGTCACTCTTTTATACATTTCCATACTTAGTTGATTACAAACTAATTTTTGTTCAAATGTACTCATTTAAAATTATAATAAGTCCAATTAATTCCTCAACAATAATTTAGTTCCAAATAGACCATCAGTTAATAATAAAAACACAACCATAGGAGCTGGAGAAAGACTACATTGGAAATCATTTCCAAATTGGGAAAAAATATTGATATATCTAAATTTTAAATTTTTTCTCATAAAATCTGTTTACAGTCTTTGTTCATTTTATGCCAGAAACACACAGACAATTGTAATTAATCCACTTAAATCATGAGCATTGGGTCATGCAGGGCAGTAGGTTTTGTTCACTGACTTGGAAGTGGGAATTATCCTCTTATTACCCACTCAGCCTCAAGACAGGGACTTCACCCTGGGAGGCTGGAGTTCAGTGGCCCAAATGGAGACACCCTTGGTGCGCTCAGAGACAGGTGCATCTGGGAGCAAGAGGACAAACACGGTATTTCCAATTCTGACCCTGGTTAGTCATAGAAGTTGAGGTAAGTCTTCACCCCAGTTTTCTTATCCACTGAATGGGGAATATTATGTCAATTTTTCTAGAATTAACATTGATCAAATGAGTATCAACTATCACTGTGTGTGTGTGT